ACTTTTATTAAAAAAATATAAACACTAATACAAATATTACATACTTAATTTTGAAGACCCAACTCTTCTGACTGCTTTTTTGAATGCTCAGAAGTGACCTACTGCATTAGGCAGTAACAAGACTACCTGGAAGGTTATTCCTAACCACTGTTCTACAATAGAGTAATACCAAACTGATAATATTTTTTTGTAGAAAAGTAAAAAAAATAAATAAATAAACTAAACTAAACTAAAAAGAGATACAGAAAGAAAAAAAAAATAAATGTCAGAGAGCACACCTTATTTGTAACTATTCCAGTAAAGTTACTAATACTTTAAACCTGTGCTAAGGATCTAACTACACTTTAACTTGTACTAAAGGAGTAAAAATTCTATATATATAATTCTAGGAATTACTATATATCTCTAATTTGCTATAATCCATCAACTTAAATCCTTCTTCATTTCTTTATTACATTATATGTTAGGCTGTACATGTCATTGTTGTGTTCCTATTACATCATGTTACAATATGTACTGTCCAAAAAAGAAAGTAGTAAAAAATGCTGATCTTTTGTAGAAGCAAACCAAATTTCTCATTTTTGAATAAAAAATAAAATAAATAAAAGAGATCAACAAGTATAATATATAAAAAGCCAAATCAAAAAAAATGTTTCCAGTTGTTTGTTCTGTTTTTAAGCTTCTAATAACCTTTAACCAGAGTTTTTCTTTATTATTTTCAGCATATCCTTCTGGTTTGGATATTAAATATATTAAAGGAATCCACTTACAAAAAGGTTTGACCTTGATACGAACTACCAGAAAAGTTACCTATAACTTGGTTTTTTATATACTTCTAGTTCATTAGTAACAATCTGTTTTATATATTAAAACAAAATCAATGATATTATCTATTTAAAAACATAACTTTTCAAACTGTTTTAGTACTAGTTTGGTTTAAGTAATCATCAGAGAAAGTTGGGTAGCTATTTATAGTATTAATCAGGTCATTTTTCTTTAAATGATTAGAATTTGGTATTTTAGTACTTGGCCTATTCAATATCTGTAATGTATAGGTTATTTGAACTATAGTATATATTTTTTGTTTGCATTTATTGGTTAAGTTTGTTTGCTTTCATTAAAGATTTCTTTTATTCTTTTGTAACTGTCTTAGTTTCATTAAAGCTTTAAGTTCTGTACAAGCTTTTTTAATATGCTCTGTTTTTAATAATAGTAACATGTTTTTGGAGTCTTCTTTTAGTTTGTAGTAACTTTGTGGTCTTCATCATTTGTATGTTTAGGTAATCTTGCTATTAGGTTTGAATTATTTGATATTTTAAAAATTATAATCTATTGGTTAGAGCATATTAGAGTTTCTTTATATAATAGTAGTTTTATAAAGGCAATAGTGCCAATATTTTGAAAAGCTTCCTTAATCTGTTTATTAATAGCTTTTTTGTTGTCCATTAATGTGATCTTTAATTTAACTAAAAAAAATATATACTTGAGATTAACTGAAACATATACATTTTTACAATTTTAATACAAAATTTTTATTATATTAAATTATATGCATTTAAACTCTATATATAATTGATTTGATAGTTATATTTAGTTTATTGACAAATTTACTAATTTTGGTACTTTTTTTCCAATTTAATTATTTTGCTTATAAATAAAATTTCTTAAATTTTTTTTTATATTCTTGTTTTTCTAATAGTATGTTTAGTTATACACAAAACTAGCTATAAATTTGGCTTAAAAAATTAAAAATTTTAGAATCATCTTACTACTAATTATAAAAAAAAATTATTTGCAAAACTGCTTCTATCATTATAAAACTATTTACTTTTAATTATATATTATAAAATTTTACTAAAACTTTTAAAATAATTTTCAAAAATTAAAATTGATTATATTAATATTACAATTAGAAATTTAATAATTCTGAGTTAAATAATATCATTTTTAGGTTTATGTATTTTGATATTATTGTATTTTCAAATAATTATAATTACTATTTATATTAGAATTAAAAAAGACTATAATGCAGTTACAAAAGTAAATATTTTTATGAGCATTAAGTGTATTTATTATATATATATATATATATTGTTTTAAAATAACCTTTTTAATTTTTTAATTTTTTATTAATACTTTTTAGTAATATAATTTATATAAAATTACTACAAAAAGAATATAAAATTAGTTATATATATAACTTTTTTATATGATTTATTTAAGAGTTTGCCTAAAGACTTTTTTATAGATTATTTTACTAAAACTAGACAAAAGAGAAAAACATTTTTATTGAAAATAGAGTAAAAACTACTAAGTAAACTGACTTTGGACTATTAATTAAATATGTTTCTTACAATAAACTTGATCTAAAAGAGGTACAAATTTTAAAAAAATTTACTAGCAGCCCTGAATTACAAAAATATTAAAAACAATATTGTAAAAAACAACTTGCATTTTAATAACAGTGGTTCTAAGGATCTTTATATCTTTACTAACTCAGTATGTAGGCATAAAATAATAGCTCCAAAAAATAGCAAAAAAACTACAAATAATCTACTAACCAACTCATCACAAACTTCAAACCAAACAACCTTTCAAAGCACTTTTTTTCTTCTCTTTTAGTGCATTTACTAAAAAATTTACTAGCTCAAACAACCCTATACTTACAATTTTAACTACTAATCCTTCTACTAATATTCAATAGAATTTATAAATATTACTATAAAAAACATATTTAAACTCATCTTTACAGTCATTTTTCTTATTTCTAGCTTTGCTAACAAATACCTCTTTATTATAGATTTTATCAAATCTGGTTACATATTCAATCTTATTATATTTCCAACCTAATGGTTGTATAAACACAAAGAATACTCTTAATCAATACATTTTAACCTTACAACAACAAAAAATAACTCTATAAATATTAGCATCAAACATCTCAGAAGTACATGAAATTGTAACCTTAATTTAACAATTTAGTTATATAAAAAAGCATAAAAAAAATTCAAGACATTTAAATTTAACAAAGATCTTCTACTTATATTATACAACATGATTACAGAATTAGATATAGATGAAGAACTATTACAAACAAGCAATATTTCACAAGATAATGAACTAACATTTGATCTTACTGCTGGTTCTGCAGCAAATATTATTGTGATTTTGAAATTAGTAAGTTTGTTACTAATTTAATCCAATTTTTGTAGATAACCTATAGCAGCTAAGTCAAAATAGGCATATTAGATTTGGCTAGTAGTTTATTAGTAGATAAGTACTAGTCTTCTCTTGTAAACCTTTCCTTCAACCTAGTCTTCTATTAAACTTTGCCTTCATATATCTGCTCATATCTTCTTTTATATGCCTCAATATAGAATTACACTATGTCAAATTGAATTGAAATCTTCTATTATAGTAACAGCTTTTTGGTCACATAACTTGCAGTGTACAATCAATAACAAGTTTAGTGGTTTATTGATAAACAATAGAGTTAACAATAGAATTAATGATAGTTTATTAGTTTGTATAAAGTAATAATTTTACTTTATTAAAGAGCACATATTTATTATTATTAGGAAATTTGTTTTAGAAAAGGGATAGTTGTTAGGAAGACAAGATCTATTTTTTCCAAGACAAAAATGCACTTTATTTATAATAAATGTTTTATTTATATTAGTAATTAATTTCTAATATAAATGTAATATATTCCTTATACTCTATATCTTAACCAAATGTCATAAAGAGCTAATATTTCATTTAATTCATATGTAGGCAAAGTAGCAGAAATGACATAAGTAACTCAAGTAAAATTTTTATCATGTTCATATAATCTTGAATTGAGTTAGGATTATCACTATGATATGGACACTTGTGATCCCAAAAATCAGTTCACATTTTTTCTTTATTTAGTTTATACATATTATGCATAAATTAGAGAACTACAAAATCTTTAAATTATCATGTCTCAATGCTTCAGTAGTGGAGTCACTTTGTGAATCAATTACAGAAGAGAAGTATTCTTCTGGTTCTTTGTCTTTTCATTTTTGATATATTTTACTAACTTGGTGGTGGTTTTGGTTTAATTGGCATTAATTTGACTTCATCAGTTTTCTTTTCAAATTCACTTCCTTTTTTATAATAAGAACCAGCACAATATATCTATTAGCATCCACTATTTTTGTTAATTTTTGATAGAGTCCAACAGATTTATGTTTTTTATTTCTAACTTTAATTTGATAACAATGTTCAAAGGCTTCATGTTCATCCTCTTTGACTCCAATTCTATCATATATTGTATTACTATTCTCATCATTATCATAATCATCATCATTACTATCATCATTATTACTATTATTGTTATTATCATTCAATACTTGATGGCTGTCCTTTTTAACTTCATTTCCATTTTTATAACAAATACCAACACTATATGTTCCTTTAGCATGACCCATGTTTGCAGACTTCAGAAAATATCCAACCTTATGTTTGTTTTGTTTGACTCTGTTTCTATTATAATAATGAAAATCAATATTAATTGTTCTACTAGCATGACCCATGTCTGCAGCTTTCTGAAAGTATTCAAACATATTTTTTCATTCTTCTTAGCACCAATTCCATTTCAATAAAAAAGTCTACAGGCTTTATGTTTATCCTTTTTAACTTTAATTTCATTTCAATAACAAGATCCAACTTTTTTGTTTCATTAGCATTTCCTATCTTTGCAGATTTTTGGAAGTATTTGAAGGCTTTATTGTCATCTTCTTTGATGCTGATTCCATCATTATTTCTATTATTATCATTGTTATTATTATGATTAGGTTTAACATATTTAGCTTCATTATTATTAGAATCAAATTTCTCTTCTGTGATCTTAGACAGCCTTCTAAACATTTTCTTTTTATCTTCTATAATGTCAAGTTCTTAATAAAGGGTGTCTTATATTCTTTTTTTTAACTTCGATTCCTTTTTAATAATGATATCAAATGTTATATGCTCCATCAACATGCAAATTTTAGCTGATTTTTGGTAACAAATAGATTCTTCAGATATATATAATTAGGTGTTCAGATTATTAAAATTTCTAGATATTCATTAATTAAGTCTTTTAACTCAACATCCAAGCCATCATTGCCATTTATTAGTTTACTAGGTTCATGTTTAGCTCTTTCAACTTCTTTAACATTTTCACTAACATTAAATGTTCTATTGGCATTTTTCATTTCTGATGATTTTTAATTAAAGTCAAATGTTAGGTCTTCTTTTTTAAATTCCACTTTAGCCAAGTCATTTATCTGTATGAGTTCTTAAATGACTTTTTTTGGGACCCACTTTTGTGTAAGAGCTTTATATTTAGCAACTAGTTGTTAAAAAAGATGGTCTAAGTTAACTTTTCCTTTCTCAAAGCCAAAGCTAACATTATCAAAAGGTTCTTCTGTAGATTCATTAGGGTTATAGTAGGCATTATAGTAGGTATTATAGTAGATGTTGTATTAGGCATTGTGTACTGTAAGTGATAGTAATCAAGACCTTAAGGGGACTTTTAGTATAGTTGGATTCTTTTTCTTAGTAGATAGAATTAGGTAAACATATGAAGGTAAATATACAATAGTTTTTTCATTATGAGTTACAGAATAGGAATGATTACAAAAACCAAATTCTTTCTTTTTTTTGACATCATTAATTGTGTTTTTCAACACTTCTAGCAAGAATTCAAGAATATAAGAAATTTGCTCATTATTAAGATAGTGATTCCAAAGGCTTTATTGATAGTTTCTTGGATTTTGTCAGCTTGCTCTTTATTAAGTGTGACAAAAAAAGCAGCACATTTTTTTTTCAAAAGGACTATATGTGGGCACTTACTAACAACATAGCCTTTTACTTTATAATAAAAGCATTAAAGTTTTCATCAAAGGCTTTATCTAGTCAATTTGGGGTTTATAAGGCTTTTAATATTTTTGTTATTTGAGTTTTTGCTTTTCTTCAAGGGTGGTTAAATGTTAGTAGTAAGTAAATATCATACATTTTTCTCAAGTAAGTATACTTAAATTTTGTTTTTTATTTCTCAATACTAATTTTATCTTCTTTATTCTTTAATTACTTTATTTCTTTTTTGCATTTTCTATATTAGAAGAAGATAACGAACATTTTTCTTAATTTTGTTATCTTACAGTTATCACCAAATGTAATTTTGGAATTGGTAAGTCTGTCATTACTCTAATCTAATTCTTGTAAATAACCTATAGCAGCTAAGTTAAAATAGGCATATTAGATTTAACTAGTAGTTTATTTATAGATAAGTACTAGTTTTCTCTTGTAAGCCTTTTCTTCAACTTAGTTTTCTATTAATCTTTGTCTTCTCTTGTCTTTTTATATCTTCTCTTGTATGCCTTAACTCAGAATTACACTATATCAAATTAGGGTTGAAATTCATCTATTATAGCAACAGTATTTCAGATACATAACTAGGGTAAACGATCAATGGTAAGTTTGATAGTTTATTAGTAAATGATAGAGTTAACAATAGGATTAATAATAGTTTATTAGTTTGTATAGAATAATAATTTCACTTTATTAGAAGGTAGGTATTTATTGTTATTAGAAAATTTGTTTTTGAGAAAAGATGGTTGTTAGAAAGTTGGAATCTATTTTTTTAAGACAAAAATGCATTTTATTTATAATAAATGTTTTATTTATATTGGTAATTAATTTCTAACACAAATAAATATATTTCTTATACTCTATATCTTAACTAAATGTAATAAAAAGCAAATATTTTATTTAATTCATATGTATGCAAAGTAGCAAAAATGATGTAAATAATATAAGTAAGATTTTTGTTATATCTATATAACCTTGGATTGGGTTAAGATTGTTGCTATAATACAGACACTCATGACTCCGAAAATCAGACTTACATTATACAAACTCAGCCATTAGCTACTATATCACATAACACTATCTAAAAAATACAAGACACCAATATTAAAAGAAACAACCACCTTTCTGTCTCACAATATAACCCTACTGAAACTATTAGATTAAAAACCAAATTCTCTAAAACCTAATCAACATTTAGCCAACATCAAAGTAAAAAACAATCTAAATTCTAATCACTTAATACATAAGCAATATTCTAACTAAACCATCCAATACTACAGCCATAGCATTACAAATCTCTACAACTACAATATCTGACAACTCTAATAACACCAGACTTACATATAACCAAATTACTCAAAACTAACTCAATATATCTAAATTTAATAATATTGACAACCCAGAATAGGCAAATACTATACAGATCAGAATCACAGACCAAATCAATACTCTATTTGACCAACAAATCTGGTCATATAACAGAATTGCTGAGGCACTCCAAACACCAACTTGAATTCAGAATTTCATTAATATAAACTTGTTACTATACCAACTGAATTTGTAATCCTACTTGCAATATTTCTTAAATTTAGATATCTTGATACTAGGTTCTTTACCACCTTTATCAGAAATTCAAATACTATTTTAGCACACCAAAAAGAATATACTAACCTATACAATAATGCCTTAGCTACATATAAACAAACTAACCAAATTACAATTACAGATGCAAATACATGCAAAACTATTAACTCTATGCTTAAGCAAATGCTTATTTCACAATATCTCTCTAATATTAACTTTATCTTTTACACCTCCTTTATAATCTACAAAACTATCTATTATGCAAAAGGCTTCTTACAAATTCAAAATAAAAATAAACAAACTCCTAAGAAAATTAGAGCTATAATTACTAATACACTCTAAGAAAAACTTATATCACTATTACAAGACTCTAGTAAGGCAATTATACTATTTATACTTTCAATTATACAAAGATTATATATAAGGGCTACCATCAATAAACTAAAAAAATTTTCAAGTTTGACAAATTAACTAATAACTATTTTACAAAACTCTCTACATTACTTAAAAGATACCAAGATATCCTTACAGAACTACAAACCTATTTTCCAATATCAAATAAACAATTACTACAATATCTTTTCATACTTTAGATGTAAACTTGCAGACTACTATACTTTTAATACAATTTCAAACTCTTATTTTCAGCTTTTTTTATCTAAAAAACCATTGTCTACCACATATCAGAAACTGAACTACAAAGTCAGAGGTCTCTTTTTCTTTAACTTATCTATATTCAAAGTACTATTAACTGAAGCTATAGCATAATTAAAAAATATTACATATTCAAACTACTTTCTAGTAACTATTTTATTACTAAACTATTCTTGCCAATCAAAACTAAACTTATTTGTACAAAGTTACATTTTACATATCTAATAACTGATAATACAATAGCAAAAACTTTTTTTGATGAAATTTTACAACATTATCATGTTTGTTTCTCATTACCTGATCACATAATACAAGTAAATTCTATAGACAAACCAGCTTTTTTATGTTTATAATTGTGAATTTATTAGATTGTATGTAATTTTTACTAACTATAAACTAAAATAATAAAGCTCTGATTTGAAAAACTTATATTTTTCTAGATTTAGTTTTAATTTAGTATAACTTATTAAAGATAATTTATAAGTACTTAAAATAGTTTTTAAATATTTTTAAATAGATATTTATATGATTAAAATAGACAATAATATATTTTTTGATATGTTTATGCAAAACTTTATTTATAGGTTTTTAAAATATACCAAATATGTTACAAAATCCAAATAGCATTATATTAAATTTGTAACTGCTATACTTTATAAAAAAAGATTATTTTTTTATTATTTTCTATTATTACTATCTGCTAATATAGGAAAAATGATAAGTTAGTTACTTAAAAAATAAATATATTATATAACTTACAAATAGCTTAGTCAAAAAGTGATAGTTAGATTTGAAAAGTGGTATGTTTATAATTATAGATTTTATAATCTAATATCATTAAAGCAGTAAAGTATTTGAGTCAAAATGTATTACAAATATAAAAAAAAACTATTGCTTAGATAGGGCACAAAGCTTTTATTATATACTATTATATTACATATGTGTCTTTATAGATATTAAATATATGAAACTTATTATTTAATGTATATATTCTTAATGTTCTGTATTATTTAAATTTCTAATATATTATATATCTCTTTACTTATAGTTTTTCCTTAAAACCCACTATTAATCTTATAATATCTAAACAACTTTATAAATAATAATTCTGAAAAACTTATTTTAGATAGATGATTAACATAGCCTTTAATTACATTATTGCACCATATTGATCATACTCTGTCACATGCTTTTAGAATCACATTTTTACTATTTATACTGCTAATAGCATTTATTAAATCTGAGATAAAAAACTATTTTATACTTTTAAAAGTATTAATAAAATTATTTATATATAGAAAAAAATAAGTATTTTTTATTAGGATGTGGTAACCTAGTGAAGTAGTCAAGTTGTCAACACTTCGGTAGTAGATTGGGTGTTTAAATCTTATTAACAGTAAAAATTTGAATAATCACCTATGTAATATTTATATAATGGCAACTGTTACCAATAATTAGCTTAGGATATCTGTAATGGCAGTCATACTAGCATAACTGCAAGTCATAGAAAATCTGTGTAAGTATAGCATTACACAGAGAAATGCAAGTTGACAAATTAGAAATTAGGTAGTACAACTACTAGATAAGTTCTTGTAGCCATATAAATCTATTAAAATTAGGTAATAAGAAGTTTATTTGGAAAGACTTGAATAAAGAGATAGCTGAATTTTTGATGACTCTACTGTAAAGGCTAACCTAAAAAAATAAATACCAGCTTTTAGTACCTGGTTGTAGTAGCTGAATAGGCAAAACCTCCAGATTGAGAGTCTCAGAGGTACTACCAACTAGACTGCCAAAACAAACTAAAAAAAAAAGATATCAGATCAATCTAATATACTAATGAACTAATTATAGTCCTATATAGGCTATCTGGATTGGGAGTTTGATAAAAAAGTAGGTGAAAAGGCAGAGATATACTAAAGTACTAGGGTTATGCTATGAAATAAATGCTGGGATCTAAGTAAACTCTACAAAGGCATAGCAGTTTAATAGTTAAGCCCTAACTACAAGTGTTGGTTCTGCTATAGTAATATCTAGGTTAGTTGTAAAAATAGGTACAGAAGGCTCTGGAGGGCTTACCTTGAGAATAAAATAGTCCTAAAGT